GGGATATGTACGGACTGTAACTCCACAGACAGCTTCTCAAGACCGTTGGCAGCACAGGATCAGGGTGGGTTCCCTGATCCTCACATTTTACAGTTGAGAAAAAGCAAGGTTACGGGGCTACTCAACTGTCCCAGTGTGCAAAAAAAGTGACCCCACTGGGAACAGAGCCAAGCCCCCCAGAGTACCAGAGACATAGGAGATCAGAGGCCTTCCTGGCACAAACAGGTTTTAGTTCGTTTGTCTAAGCTTTATATAAAAGCTTAACAATTGGAGTTCTACATAACGTTCCTGGATCTCTGACTTCTCTTGAAAAATCTTCTGTCCAGAGGGATCCAGATTTTTGCATAGCTTCTGTCTTATCTGGAGAGCTAAGGAATTGTGGCAAACAGGCATGAGAATCCAGGTGTCCCACAGCCACATGCGTGCACAATCTCTCTTCCTATACAGCCAGGGGCTGAAGGGACCTTAAAATTTATTACTCTACCTCTGTTTCACTTTGTCTAAGTGTGTGTGTGTGTGTGTGTCCCCGTGTGTGTGCCTTATTTTAAAATGTTTCTTTCACTGACATGCATGTGTGTGGTTACATGCATGTGAGCACAGGTAACCCAGGAAGCCAGAGGGCATGCAGATCTGGACTATTTTCATGCGTCGATGCTGTTCCTCTGGGCTTATTAATTTGCTCAACAGCCAACATTTCTCTACCTGTAAGTCAGTCTCCTGAGAACTCCCTTCCGGCTTCCTTCCCAGCCCCAGACCTCACTCTTGCCCTGTTCTCCTTGTTCATTCTGCGCAGTTCCCTTCGCTCACCAGCTCCATCACACCTGCTTCCTCTGGATCCCAGAGCACTGGGCACCTGCCCGAGGGGCTCTTCCCCTGTAAATCCTTCCCCTTCAATCCTCTAGATCCTCCAGTCCATCAACCTTGTCCTTCTCTGAGCACACCACCGAAGGGGTCCCTCCCAGGCACCAGGACGTCACCCTGGAGCAGTTCCTTCACCTGACACACCCTTGCTTCCTTGGCTACCTCCCCCCCACGTCCAACTATGACATCCATGGAAATGACATGTTGCTGTCCTGCTCAGTCCCCAGTCATCAAGGCCTGGAAAGCACCCGACTCCTAGTCGCAAGAGCAGGACAAACACACAACAAAAGTGACATCTCACCCTTAGCAAAGCTCAGCTAAGCTGGAAGGGGTGGGGGAAACTTTGCCTCCTTGGCCTCAGGTCATGCAGGGACTTCAGCACAGAGGGAATTAACTCAGTGGATAAATCTAGATGCTTGAGCCCATGTATATTTACAAGTGCCCCACTGAGCTATAGGGTTCTGATTCTGAAGCTGCTGACTGAGTTTCTGTTCGATTTTGGAATCAAGGCTGCATCTATGGATGAGTGAATATTCAAAAGGAGCTTCAGTGGCTTCAAATGAAGCATGCACGCATGTGTGGGAGTGTGTTTGCAAGTGCACAGAGGCCCGTTTGTCGCCGTCAAATGATTGGTACGAAGGGCTCGAAAACTTGAGAGTAGAGACATGCGTGTCCACACACGACGTCTCAGCACACGCTTGAAGAGCCACTGTGTGGGACCTGGGAACTAGTGAGAGCCGCCAGAGGCTCATGAGTTCGTGAGCAACAGGAAGTATGGTTCTTTGGCCCTGGTTCTTTATGTGGAAAAGATGGTCCCTGACTGTCTTTAGACCCCATGGCCTAAGCACCACAGGACGCAGCGGCATTTCTAGATGAAAGCACCAAACCAAGCAATAAAATGTCACTGGATCAAGAGAGAAACAGACTCCCACCAACACACACCTCACACGCAGCCCTGAAAGGCCCAGCAGTAGCTGTTGGGCTGTCACCTACAGTAACAAGATTGATCTGTAGTGAAATAAAAGATAATGCAATCCAGAGGAAATAACTTGTGTTTCCTCTGAGAATGTCTGATGTTGTCAACCATATGCCTGCTTCCCGTTTCTGCCTGCCACGGTGCTCAGCGGCACACACGCAGGAATACAGAAGGCAGATAGGTAAATGGCAGCTGCAAAGCCATCTCTTCCACCAACCCAGCCCCTTGGCCACGCCCAAGCCACGCGTTCAGGAAGGCAGAGGCAAATGTCAGTGGCCACCATGAAATGGGTTTCAAAAAACGGCCCCAGTGGCATCCATGGTGAAGCAAACACTCGATTTCTGCTGTTTCTTTCTGCCACAACTGAAGTCTCCTGGTTCTCAGGAAGTAACGATCGCAGTTCCAGAGTCTGTATACAGGGTGCAGAATGCTTTGGCTCGGTCTCCTGTGTCTGTCAGCACTGTCTGGAGCATTATCTCCCAGGTAGAGTGACAGGGTGACAGGAAACACCGTGAGAACAGTGGGCATTGGCTTTGAAGGCTCTTAGCCATCATTTCTGAGGTGTCTCAGTATAAAATGGACCTCCAGGAGCAGAGCCATGTACATAATTAACAGCAATTGCATTGTCCCAGTGATACCTTTACATGTATGTTCAACATAAAAATGTTCTGTGAACTGGTAGCATCTCAACGACACATGCAATTCCAAAGTTCTGGCACTCAGGGTCAAAAATTCACTATACAAAATACGAATGAAAAATAAATAAATCTCATGGAACTGGGAAATATTAAAAATTAACAAAGAGAAATTATGTATAATGAACCTGGTCTAAACATTTGCAAGTGTGCTGTTTTTGAGAATTTTATATATCCATGAAATGTTTTCATCAATTCCTCCGTGCAAAGTCCTCTCCCTGTTCCCCCACTACCACTATTCCCTCCCAACCTCTCTCCCACCTCCTCACTAAGCATATTCATTTGCCTGCATGTACACCGGTATTGGACCATCTACTTGGGCATGGATCCAGAGAGTCAACACTGGTAAACCAGCAGAGGATAAAACAGGCATGTGCAGCTCTACATGGGACAACGACCTCACACCGAAGCCCAGGAATCCCCACACAGAAGACTTAAAGACCCAGAGGGAACAGTCACCGGCAGCGAAACATTATGTGCAGGACAGTACAGCTGCCAGGTAAACTCAAACAGCTGTGGCTGCACACACAAGATCTGCAGAAGATCAAGACAGCCGAAACCCCGGCAGGGATGGGGAAGGGCTCAGGAAGCCCCACCCTCAGCTGAGAAGCCCTGAGCCTATCAGTTTTCTAGGATGCAGACCCTAGTAAACCTCACGAGGGAGCTGCCACCTCCGTCACACGAGGCTTAGGCAGCCATCGGCTGTGGGCTTCTTCCTCTTTCGGTTGCTATTAGGTCGCGATAGCCAGTGATTTGTGGATGATTACAACTTTTACTGTATGTATCATTGCAACTGACAGGAAAATCTCATCAATCGAACCCCATGACTGATGAAAAAAGGACACAAACTTGACATCCGCAGCCCGCCAGCCCTTCTCTGGATCAATTACAGCGCTCAGGAAGGCTTGCTGTGACACACGGAAAGCAGACCTGATGAAGGCTCTCCTCCTCCCCTCCACCAATATCCCTGAAACACACGCATGCAACTCCAGAGCTTTTTGTTTCCAGGACAGAAATCCTGTTTGGAGTGGGGTAGTGTTCACACCGCAGCTCATACGCAGGGGCTGCTCTACTCCCCAAGCGTCACGCCGAACCCCCAATCTGTCAGGGACGAAAACTCGCTGCAGCCGTGGGCTCTGATAGCAGCACTCTCATTACGCCAACAGCCACGACACCTTTTCAATTCTGCTCATCTCTTAGTCGCTAGTCAAATGGAACTTATTGCTTAGAGCTTGTTGGAACTTTCTGAATTATTTATGAAAGCAGGTCTGCGACTCCAGACTCTTAAAAGACAACACAACAGAACCCTCGTCGTTACCCACAACCTGTCTTCTAACAGGGAACAGATTCTCCGTAACATGGGCTGCATGTTTGGGGTGAAATAACAGTTGTGAAAAAAGTACCAAGCCTCTAAGAATATTTGGAGGATATTTATGGAATGCCTGGGCGTATTTTTAAACCTTTACTGTAAACCAGCTTGGGGTTCCAGAAAGATGCAGCAGACATATTTCCCAGCTTGGATACAAACAACGAACGTCTACCACTATTACCCACACTAGGCTGGAAGGCAGTTCCCCATCATGAGCATCTAGAAGGTTCTAGTTAGGTCATGAACCCAGAGCTAAACACAGTGAGGACTAATAGTCAGTCAGAGACACCAATGAGAAAACACTTTTGTTTCCAGCTCACCGGACCTGTAAAACAGACAGCACTCTCTGTTACCTGACTCTGTGTCAGTCGGAGAGGCTATGAGGCATGACTAGGTTGGAGGGCACAAACTGGTAAGCCAGCCTGCCCTTAAGAGCTATACCTCCATTGGAACTGGCTTAGGGAGCCTTTAGAAAGCAGGAGTTGCCTCTGATGCAGGGTTCTTGAAGGACAAATCCCTCCAGAGATATCTGCTCCTCCCAAACCCCATGCCAACCCTGCCCTCCTCTCCAGGTGTCAAAACCCCAGACCTAGCCCCAAACATGGTTCAGAGGAAGATGCAGACCCCCCAGAAAGACTGAAGGTACTTCATGCCACCATCCTTATACAGTCCCTTACAAGTCAACAATCATGTATAACAACACTGCACATTTGCCTAAAATTGGTAACAACAGGTTTAATTCATCCACCCAAATCCCACACTCATTAAAAAAAAATCGTATTACATGATGTAAGGCTTTATCAAAGGAACCATAATTCACAGCTAAGGGGTCAAAGCTTTCTCCATAATAGATGGGTTTTCTGAAGTGGCTGGGGAAAACCTAAGATACGGCCACAGAGTTAAACCAATAAGTCTGAAATATGCAGAAGAGTTCAAGTTGAGCTTATTGTAAATGACAGTGGTCTCTTGTCACCACAAGCCCACCCCGGTAAGTAACAGGCTTGACTTGGCTGCCAGAGACACATTCTCAAGAAGACAGAGGCCCGCCACCCCAAAGCACATAGCCAACAGAAGGGCAACAGGGGGCAGGGAAACTTACCTTGCTGGAAGACATCTGAGGGTGTGAGAAAAAAATAGAGAGGGAAGGAAAGAGAGAAAGAGAAAAATATTAATAACAGTGAAGAAGAAAGTCTTCTCGCATATATTGGCTTTGCTAAATATTCTCCATACAGTACTCTCTTGAACACCAAGCTCAGATCACAGGTGGAGACCACCTTGGTCTAAACCATGTCTCGATTCTTATGAACTCTGGCTTACTGTCCCTTAAACCTCCACACGGACAGTGTGATTGGAAACACCCGTCATGCGTGTCCTAAGGCTGATGGACTTAGAACAACGTTGGCAAGTAAGACGCAGGACAGTTGGGGGCTGTCGACATCCAGCCATCACCATTACAGTAGCCTTACAAAACAGGCTCTGTAATCACGCTTATGTTATAGCTAGAGAAACCGAGTCTCCAGAGGGCAAGACAGCACACTCAAGGCCGCAATATAGGTACTTTGGATAAAACCCAACCCTGCATGACACTGAAGATTCTCTCAAGCTCTAAAAAGCTATCTGATTGAAGATTCAACCAAGCTCTAAAAAGCTATCTGATTGGTTGAAGATTCAACCAAGCTCTAAAAAGCTATCTGATTGGTTGAAGACAACACCTCACAAAAACATACGCAGATATGGGCCTGGGAATTCAGAGTCATACTTAAATCATATAAACAAAGTATGTATACATTCTCCACTTTATAACCCCATGTCCACACAGTAAACCCTAGGCCAGCATCTGCTAGAAAGTGACAAAGTATTCATGCTTTTGTGAGTTTTCTTTCAACCAATGTCTGAGAGCCTGGTATGGACCAAGGACTTGGTTTCTAGTAACCACAGTACAGGACACCAACACGCTGTCACCAGTATCCCCCCAGCAGGACCTCCAGGGACAAGCGTGTTTTCACCGTTAAGTCGAGTATACATGGATAGCGAAGCACCATTTTTTCTAAGTGTAGCCTCTTTGCTCAACAGTTTATTTTTTAATCTGATGTTGGTGAGTTTTTAACTTACTTGAGGGGTGAGAAATTAGGAATCAAGACCGGTGTTTTCCTCCACTTTTTGTAGTGGCCATAGGTACCTGTGCAAAGTACTTTTCTTCTATGACTACAGGAGCATGGCTGCCCAATCACCAATGATGTTTCTCACCTGCTCACGCCTTTTAATTTGGTGTCTTCAAGACACACGCGTGTCACCCAGACAGGAGATAGTACCTGTTCTGCCTGCAGGGCTCCAGAAAGGAAGTTCAAAAGAAAGATACTTCTAGAAGATAGTTTGAGAACCTACAGAAACATCCAACCTGCATTCCATGAGCAAACTGTACTACTTACTGAACTCTAATCCAACCAAACACCTAAAGATGTAAGAGAAATATAGAGAGAAGATCATCGAAGTATTGTTGGCAATGGGAAAAATACTGGATGCTGCCCACAGTCCACAGAGAAGCAAAGCTACGATCTACACATAGCTTTCTGTGCAGTGACTTGAATGACTGAGAGGATTGGTGAGATGGGTTAGGCAAACCTCTGGTCATGCAAGACCGACAACCCAAGCGTCTGCCCCAGAAACCGTGTAAAACCTAAAGGGAAGAAAGGACTCCTCAAATTTGTTGTTTGGTCTCTAGAGAGATGTCATAATGTATCATGCCCACCTCCCCACATAAACCCCCAAAAAAGAGTTTTGGTTTTTTCTTTTTTTTTAATTGGTAAAGACTTTGGTTGACTTCAAATGAACATATTGGATGCTCTATGATGACCCATGAATGCATCTATGTGCGCATGTGCATGGTTGCCTTAAGAGAGGCTTGTGACAATGGCCACAAAATATTGCTTGTCTCTGGGAGTTGGAATTGGAGTTTTTAAATCTTCTGTGAGTTTTTATACATTTGGGAAGGGGTTCGAGATAGGGTTTCCCTGTAGCTATGGAGTATGTCCTGGAACTCGCTCTGTAGACCAGGCTGCCTTGAAATCACAGAGATCCACCTGTCTCTGCCTCCCGAGTGTTGGGATTAAAGGCGTGCGCCACCACCGTTCAGCTCATTATTTAAAACCTTTAGCAATGAGCATACTATATTTGTAATCTCAGCTTACAACTAAACTTATCTTCATTAAAGGCTAAGTAAGAACTACATTGTCAGCATCAACTTTACATTAGTGCCACCTGACACCAGCTCCCATGGGGTCATAAGAGCCATGAATAGTTCAAGACACTTTCCTGACACATTAACGAATCAGAACACCTTAGGCTGCAGAGTTCATTCCACTCAGACACGTGCTCCAATTTTATTAATTAAACCTTTTCTCTGACGATTTCACACACATATCTATCGCAATCTAATTACCCTCACTCCCCCCTCTCTTCTGTCTCTCCCACCCACCAATCCCGCCTCCTCCTTCCGTGTCCCCTTTGAGAGACGCTCATCAGGACACAAGCTCTCAAAGTCGCTCTGGCTTGTCTGAGAAACTCTTACAAGTTCCCCATTCCCTGGCGGCATGAGCCTTCTCCCGACTCAGAGCAAAGCCATGTGGAATGTGGATGGGCTGCATCAGAGGCACCAACTGACTCTGCTCTCGGCCCATTCTCTCAGCGGGCTCTGCATCTCCAGAGTCACCCAACCACAGACTGAAGATACGTCTTTTAAAAAACCTGTGTTAAACATGGACAAACATGTTTTCTCATTATTACGTTCTAGGTAATAAGAAATACATTATCAAAGTTATTGATACAGCCCTTACTACATTAGATTTTAGAAGAAATCCAGAGGTGATGTGAAGTATACAGAAAAGAAGTATACAGTTTTATAGCTGACAAGCACACACTGTGCCATCCTCAAGGGACCTGAGAACCAGTAAGTTCTAGCAGGCACAAACCTCTCCTGCACACATCACACAGTATCCTCTAGCCTTGGCAATTCATCTTCAGTACAAATGCTGGCCCAGCAGTGAGATGTCACTGCCTAGGGACTGAGGAGAGGGCTGTGGGCAGCTCCTGAAATGCACCAGTCTATACAAACTATCCTCCTGGACCCCACAGCCAGATGCCTACTCTCTGACCAAGCTTGCTCTCCTGATGGAAGCCTCCTACTCATCCTTCAAAGGTCACAGCCCCTGTGAAGCGTGTCCCCACAGAGAGGGAACTCACTGTTTCCACCTGTGTTCCTAGAGGAACCCGTGCATGTTGCAGTTATAGTTCAGGTTATAATTAGCTATTTACGTAGACTGTGCTCTCCTGAGGATAAGCGCAATGGACCTTAAACGCCTACCCAGCTCTAGACTGCCTGGCACTGTGTTACCACTGAGAGGGAAGGGAAAGGGGGCTTTCTCGCACCATTCCCTTATCATACAGGTGAAGTTCTGGATAAAAGAAAAATCCTTCCTAAGGTCACACGTGGAGTTCAAGGCTGAGCCAGGCCTACAGGAGACTCATTTAACCTTAATGAAGTTAAAATGCTCATCTAGATTATTAGCAAAGCAGAAATTAGACATTTATCATTCCCCTTTAATGAATACAGACAAAAATCTTCAACCTTGAAAACATCAGGGAAATGAGATTAGTCTCTCAAATACAGATCCAGTCTCAACCCCAGTCTCGACATCCGTCCAGAATCCTCAACCTCCTCTTTGTGATTTTGACAAGGAACACTTCTTTCAAACCTCAGAACCAACTTGAGTCATTGGAAAGCATCAGCCATTGCGGAGAAGGGAACCCAGGCCTGATTTGTGGTCTTATTCCTCCCAATCCTACTGTGTGTTGCCCATCTGTACAGACACATGAACACAAGATGCTCCTTAGCTCTTCCACCCCCGAAGTCCGCCTAATGTTCATGTGCCTATCTGAGGCTGCTGTCTTTTCAAACTTTCCAGTGGTATTTTCATCTTCGCTTCCCACTCACACGTAAATCCGAGTAAACACTAATGCAGATACTACACTGTGCTGGTTTTGAAGTTATACTCGACATTTATGTCTTCCGGATCTGGGGCATAAATCTCCTCCTTCTCTGTAGTAATGGTTCACACACCTTCTCTCCCAGACGCAAACGGCCACCCAAGTTCAAGCTGGCATGGTCTGTAGATGGAAGCGTGCAAGTCGGTGAGCAGAAAGAGGACACCTGACACTTTCCATGTGTTCTAGTTACATCTTACACTCCACCGCACACCGCACACGCATGTTCCAAAGTTTACCGTACCATTCCCCGCTCTAACATTTGGGTGCACGGCCACTTCTCCAAAGCCATCCCCTGTGGTCACTCCTAAAGATCAAAGCGCCGGAATGTGAGTATGGTCTAACAAACACAGAGGAGAATTTCTCAGGAGATGACCTGCCCCTCTGACCTCCCACTTCCTTGCTACAGACCCAGAGGCATATTCTAACACCACTCCACAGAAGGGGGAAGGCAGAGTTCACTCAGTGATTTAAGCCACGGAAAGTCACTCTGAGGCTAAGACGCTGCCGTATTTCCCGCCCTCCCAGGATTCAGAATCACACAAGTGCAGAGCAGGGAGCTGCCAGTGACCGCGACCCCAGCCACAACTAGGTTGAGTCCAAAGGACACCAGGGACACCGATGCGGGGGAAAGCAACTCCTCAGACAAAGCTCTGCTCAGACTCACTTCCCCAGGGAGTAAATCTCAATCCCCATCACTCATGTGGACAAAGAAGGCCTGTTTCCCAGCCCCTTGCCCCGACCCATCCCCCAGTCCTCCAGCCCCTGTAGTCCTTCTGGTCCTGGAGACAGATGAAAGGCCATGTGTGAGATGACCATTCAGATGTGGGAAAAAATAAGAAGGAAGAGCCCCAGATCTACCATTTTTAACCAGATGGAAGACCAAGAATGTGTGCCCCTCCCCCACTGCTATGGAGCTCTGTAATGCTGAGACCTCCAGAGACCTGGGTCATAAAAAGACTAGATTATCTATTATTATTAATAAGTTATGGCAATTAGGCGGGATGATTCCTAAACGTGGCTGATGAGAAATTTTCTTGAGTACTGCTCGTCCACACAGCTAGTGTTTACCTC